AAAATTCTTTGCCCAAATAAGCCAATCCACTCCATCCTCAATGAAATTTGCATATGATAAAGTACATGTTGTATAGTATATGGCGATATGTTGCATAAAAGAATAGCAATATATACTATTCTCCTATTGCATATTACCATATTTTAATACACTAGTTATATTAAAAAACAGAAGACTGACTCACACTATTTTGGAATGTGCATATAATGTTAGTATCATACATCTATAGAGTTTTCTATGGTTTATATTTTCTTGTTTGCTTTAATTCTACTAACAATGCAGGAAAGTAAGTAGTATTAAATCCATTCTTCTTCTAAGAGGCTAAGACTCAGAGAAGTCAAGAAATTTGTTTAGGGCTGGGGTTGTGGCTCAGAGGTAGAGTGCTTGCCTAGCATGCGTGAGGCACGAAGTTCGATCTTCAGCACCACATAAAAATTTTAAAAAATAATAAAGATATTGTGTCCACCTATAACTAAAAAAAATTTTTTTTTTAAAAAGTAAGCTTATTTAGCATTGAGGGCATAGATCAGTGGAAGAACATTTGCCTAGTTTATGTGAGCTTCCCTGGGTTCAGTCAGAGAGTCGGGGTGGAGGAAGAGGGAGAGAGAGAAAAGAGAAGGAAAGGGAAGGAAGGAACTTTTCGAGGGTCATAATGTTAAGAAATGGCCAAGCAAGGACTTGAACCCAAGTATTCTGTCCACAAACCTAGTAGTCATGTCATTACAATATGCGCTATTCATATTCTGAGATCCTAAACCAGATTCATGACAGTTCAATTGTCTGACATGAAAAGAAACAATAGTGAATTCAGATCCCATTTTCTCCCCAACAGCAACAATAAGCCATCTCTTGGGAAAAATTGTAACTCTGGATATCCTTCTAGTTTTGAAACTCCAACTTTTGATCTTGGGTTTGGCCTCCCCAAATTTAAACTAGGGAGAGCAGATAGAGAATCTTGAGGCCTAATGAAAGAACTGTTAGATTGTTCCTGCCAACCTCCCAACCTAAGAGCTGCCTCCACAGAAAGGAGCAAAAAGGTGTAAACTTCTTCCTCCACTCCCTCTGTACTGAGGATTGAATCCAGGGGGGCTTTACCACTGAACTACATCCCCAGGTCCCCAGTTGTTTTTTGTTTTTTATTTTGAGACTGGGTCTCCAGGCTGGCCTTGAACTTGCAGTCCTCCTGCCTCATTCACCTGGAAGAGTAGCTGGCAAAATCTAGGTGCAAACTTCTAACATATCCCTATTTTGATCGGAATGGTTTCCTCTGTCTCTATTTTTAGCATAAGGACCAATAATTCTCCAAGATAATTTCAGTTCTAAATATGCCTATGTTGGGCTGGGATTGTGACTCAGCGTAGAGCGCTCACCTAGCACAGGCAGGACCTGGGTTCGATCCTCAGCACTACATAAAAATAAAGGCATTGTGTTGTGTCCATCTACATCTAAAAAATAAATAAATATGCCTATATTCTCTATGTATATGTGTAAACTTATCATACAAACAAGGAAATCAACTTTAGGAGACTTGGGGACCTGATCTGTTTGGTTCTCACAGTTTTTTTTTTTTTGGGGGGGGCAGTAGGGATTGAACCCAGGACCTCATTCATGCTAAGCAGGTACTCTACCACCTGAGCTATATCCTCAGTCCTCTCAGTCCCTTGAGATGGTGCTGGGAAAGTCAATAGAGATTTTGGAAAGTTTTAATACCTGCAATAAGAAGGAAGGTGGTGAGACTCAGGGATAAATTGGAGGGCATAGGGAATTTGGAGAACGGAGACCAAAGTAATCACTGCCACTATAATTTGAGGTACTTTTATTTTCTTTCTCCCCTCCCTTCCTCCCTCCTTTCCTTTCTTCCTTTCTTTCCCCATTTCTTCCTTTCTCTTTTCATTCTTTAGTACTAGGGATCAAATTCAGGGCCTCATGCATGCTAGGTGGATACTGTCCACAGAACTATACCCCAGCCCCCCTCTTTTCTTCCTGTTAATAATGACAGATTGTTGGTGACTTCAGCTGCTATAGGAGGAGTGCATTTCCTCAACTCCCAGACAGATTTGCATAGTTTTATCAAACAGATTTGGAATTTATTTTTTCCTTTAGACTCAAATTGGTCCCTTAATTAGGAGGGCAAGGGATGGGGTGAGAAGGTTCTCCCTGGGATGAAGGAAAGATGGAGAGGGAAGTTTCATCTCTCAGAAACAGGGCAACCAGGTCAGATATAGGCCTTGCTCAGATTTGGGGTTAGAAGACAAACCTTAGTTCCCTACACCTGAGGTCTCAGGAGAGAGAGAGAAAGACTGGGTGGTATATCACAATCCTGTAATTCCAGAGATTCCAGAGGCGGAGGCAGAAGGATTCCAAGTTTGAGGGCAGCCTCAACAATTTAGTGAGGCCTTGAGCAATTTAGTGAGTCTGGGACCCTGTCTCAAAATTAGAAAACAAGAAATAAAAAGGATATAGCTCGGTCGTAAAAATGCCTCTGGGTTCTATCACCAGTATTTACAAAAGTAATTAAGTAAGTGAATAAATAAATAAATAAGAAAACTTCAGGATTAACTACAAACTATCTCCCAGAGAGGTGGAATAGAAAGAAATCTGCTTGCTCCTACCTCAGTAATCCTTTTCTCTTCAATTCTTCTGTACACCACTCTCCCCATCTCAATTCTTTCTTTTGTCTGCCCTCATCCCTTTGACACGTGAACATTCTCTCACCTTCCCCCACTGCATCTCTCTTAAAGAAGTTATGAGTGGGATCCCCTGCCCACAACTTGTCTGTGTCTGAGGAAGAACACCTGTGAAATGGGAAGGGGGACTGGAATTCTGTGAAGTGCTTTGAGCTCCTTCCTAGTTGGGGGCTAAGGGAGCTCACAGTGTGATTCTGGAGATACCGAGTAGAAAGCAGGAGGGGCAACTATAGGGACAGTGTAAGGACAAGAAGGAGGAATGGGAGCCAGAAGATGGAGACACAGAGATTGAGAGAGACAATTTTGGAGTCCTTTGTGAAGGAATGAGTGCATACCTGCCCTTTAGGGGGTGGGGAAACCTGAGACATTTTGAAGGTCCTCTGTGGGCCTGTACCACCTGCTTCCCCTTCCTCTCCTGAGCTCACTTGTTTACAGAGATCCCTCCCTGAACTCTTGCCCTCCTGGACTTGCCCTAGCTCTGGCCCCAGGACTCTGGTCAGGCAGACACCCTGACAGGTTACAAATGAGTGTGGGTGTTGGATTGCTCTAAGCTCTTGTCCTCAGAGTCTGGAGGAGGAGGAGGAGAATCAACGTGTGTCTACTTAATGTCTACTTAAGAGCTCTTCTAGTTTCATCCAGGGTCCTAGAGAGCAAGCAAGACACTTCCTGTTGTTTTTCGCCAACTCTAATGCAGCAGACATGCCGAGCAGAAAGAGGTGAGGCTCCACTCCTTACCCTCAGAATTGAGAGTCCCAGCTGGGCACAGTGGCATGCCTGTAATCCCAACAACCCAGGAGACTGAAGAAAGAGGATCATGAGTTTGAGGCCAGCCTCAGCAATTGAGCAAGGCCCTAATCAACTTAGTGAGATCCTGTTTCAAAATAAAAATTAAAAGGGCTGGAGATTTAGCTCAAGGATAGAGTGCCCCTGGGTTCAATCTCTGGTATTAAAAAAAAAAAGAAGTCAAAGTAGTCTCAGGAACTCTGCACTGATTTTCTCATTCTCTGAGGAAACTTCCTTTATGTATTCTAGAACATTCATGGAAATTTGAGTAATCTTCAACACTTAATTGGTACTGAATTTATAGATTTGTGGCTAGGGATTTTTTTTTTTTAAAGGACATGGAGGGTGGTGAAGGAGAGAAGGGGTAGGAGGGAACCAGAGTTCAGGGCCTCCACTAGTTTTAAACATTTTGGAAAGAAAATAAAAATCCCCCTCCTTTTCACCCCCCTGTAAACATCACCTAGCTCTGCTCATTCTGGTTCTCTGGAGAGATATAGGGAGTTATTTAAGTCTGAGTGAGTGAGCCAGCTACAGCTATGGATGGCTAGAGAGAGGATAAATACATCTAGCAAGATGAGTTGATGGATAGGTAGGGAACGAATATAAATATGGAGAGAGATGGACGAACAGAGAGATGGATTGAGACAGAGAGAATATAAAGAGAGGCTGAGGGAGAGAAATGGATGCGTGAATGAGGAGAGAGCATTTATGCAGAGAGATGGAGAGAGGCATGGGGCGTTTTTCATCCTCCTCCCCACATTTCTATATCCCTGGCTTGCTCCCTTGAAATGCCATTTTCCCACCCCTCGCTTAATGAATTATTTCTCTGGATTCTAGACCCTGCCTCACACCCTTAGGTGTTTTTCCGCCCCACCCCACCCCCTCTTCACAGTCATCCATTTGGCCCAAGATAACATACCTCACCCCACTGTCCTAGCTCATCACCCCAAGACAAATTAGGAGAAACAAAACCAGAGTGGGAATTCTGGGCAAAGTAAAGAAGCTAGGTTCTCCACCTCCAGGTCTACAGCCTTGGGGGAGGCTTCTTTTAGGGGTGGGAAGATCGAGGGGCAGCTGGGTTGAATTTGTCCAAATCTAATAACCCAGAGCCTATTGAAGGCCTTGGGGGTTGGGAGGGGAGAAAAGTCTTGAATATTCTTCAAACTTTCCCCCCCCCACTCCCTCTGGTCCCTTCTTTCCAAAAGTCTTTGAAGAAAGATGTTTTTGACGCTTCCATGTCGCTCTCAGATGGATGGGCTGCCGGTGATTGAAGTGTCTTTGTCATGCTAATGCTTGGGGGCTGATGGATGGGCGCTGGGGCTGCCAAACTCTGGCCCTCTTTGCCCATTGGCCTGGGAGAGATCACATGTGCCCCCCTACCCCCACTCCCTACCCCTTTCCTAGGGGAGCTCTGGCCCAGGCGATCTGGCCCAGGCCATGGATGCAAGCCTCATCGCTGTGACATACTGCCGAAAGGTTGTAGGGCAAGAGGGTGTCTCCCCGAAAAGGGCCGACCCTCCTGCGGCCTCCACGCATGGACTATAATAGGATGAACTCCTTCCTAGAGTACCCACTCTGTAACCGGGGACCCAACGCCTACAGCGCCCACAACGCCCTAACCTCCTTCCCCACCAGTTCGGCTCCTGCCATTGACAGCTACGCAGGCGAGGGCCGCTATGGTGGGGGGCTGCCCAGCCCTGTGCTGCAGCAGAACTCGGGCTATCCCGCCCAGCAACCGCCTTCAGCGCTGGGGGTGTCCTTTCCCAGCTCCGCGCCCTCAGGGTATGCCCCGGCCTCCTGCAGTCCCAGCTATGGGCCTTCTCAATATTACCCTTTGGGTCAATCGGAAGGAGATGGAGGCTATTTTCATCCATCCAACTACGTTGCCCAGCTAGGGGGCTTGCCCGACAGCTACGGAGCGGGTGGAGCCGGCCCTGGGCCATACCCTCCGCCACAGCCCCCTTATGGGAACGAGCAGACCGCGAGCTTTGCACCGGCCTACGCTGATCTCCTCTCCGAGGACAAGGAATCATCATCTTGCGCGTCAGAACCCAGTACCCCCACGGCCCGGACCTTCGACTGGATGAAGGTTAAGAGGAACCCACCCAAGACAGGTAGGGCTCAGACGTGGCCACCCCCCTTTCCCGGGCCGAGGCAGCTTAGTTGTCCCTGCACTGAGGTGTCTTGTTCCTGGGATGGGTTCTTTTCTCTCAGCCGTTCTGGTAGAGGCAGGTAAGCGTACTCCGCCAGATCAGGTGAGATCTTTCCATCTAGCAAGTGCAGGGCCACCCCCAAGAGTAGGTCTTCATACACATCCCACTTGCTGATCTGTTCGCCCAATATGGGGGCCCAGGATCCGCTGCGTTGGGCTGGGGGTGGAAGTATGGGAAAGGTTGCTCCGCATTTGAAGATCACCACCAGGCTGCCTGGTGATCCGTAGGGACTTTGAGAACTAGGGACAGAATGCTGACTGAGGGTGTACAGCTACTTTGGGAGGAGCGGAGGGGAGGGAGAGAGGTGAGAGAACTGACGTGGCCTTTCTTCCCGCCCCGCCCCTAGCGAAGGTGTCGGAGCTGGGACTGGGCGCGACCGGCGGCCTCCGCACCAACTTCACCACGCGGCAGCTGACTGAGCTGGAGAAGGAGTTCCATTTCAACAAGTACCTGAGCCGGGCCCGGAGGGTGGAAATCGCTGCCACCCTGGAGCTCAATGAAACGCAAGTCAAGATTTGGTTCCAGAACCGGCGCATGAAGCAGAAGAAGCGCGAACGGGAGGGAAGCCGAGTGCCGCCAGCTCCTCCAGGTTGCCCCAAGGAGGCAGCGGGAGATGCCTCGGACCAGTCGACAGGCACCTCCCCGGAAGCCTCACCCAGCTCCATCACCTCCTGAACTGAACTTTTCAACCCGCGGGGCTTCCAGCACTGTAGAGCCCTAGTCCAGTCCTCCTCTGTCCTTCCCCAACTTCACTGCCCTGGTGATCCTTGCCAAGTCTGGGACACCAGTTTAGATGGGGATGGGGACTGGGGGAAGATTTTTCTCAGATCTGGGAAGAGAGTAGATTGATGGCTTGGGGATCCTACAGGACTGGGGGCCTGAGAAATACCCAACCTGTCAAAGGTGGAGGGACTGGATGGGCTTTCCCCTGCCTTTGACCTGGGGATCCACGCAATGGCAAGAATGAGGATGAGAGCCCATCCTCCTGGGTTCTCCTTTCCCTTCCAACTTTTGGCTATTCAGTTCAGTGCCTTTAAGCTTTGAGGATGCTCCTCATGCACTCTTATCCTGACTCCTCTTTCTAGGCCTGGGATAGAGAGAAGGCCTTGGATTTTCTTAAGTAGGTGGTATTTGAGTGCAGATGTATTATTATCAGCAACCCTAAATCTCAGTCCTTAATACAGTTACCCCAAAACTACAATAGCATCAGCTCCCTTGTGAAAGACCAAAAAGCTCCCCATCTAACCCTATTAACCCTTTCCTGGCACATTTGTATTGCACTAACACAGCCTCCAGAGGTTGTTTTCTGAGACCTGCCTCCTCCTATTAATGACCTCATTACTAAATCACCAAAGTGTTTTGAAACTTGGTATGCCAGAGACTTCTGGAATACTGTGCAAGGCCTGCTCTCAGCAAGCCTCAACTAGGAAGGCACAGGCATGCCCCCACTACATTCCCCCTATTTATTGTCTCCTGGAAAACCCAGGAATCTCGACCCCATCTCCATTCCTACCCCTGGGGGCCTTCCCCCACTTGGAGGCATACCTCTTTACCCCAGGGAGGCTCAGGTATAGTGAGAGCTCCCAGCAACTTCAAACATTTCTCTGAACTTTGGAGACATTCATTTCTCTGAACCTTGGAGACAGTGGAGACACCATTTAAGTTTCTGGAAAACTGAGCCCCAAACAAGCCAGGTTCTCTCTGTACCTCCAACTACCTCATTTCAATAAAGTCTGTGTTTTCTCTGCTTCCTTCTGGCTTCCCTTACACTTAAAAGGTGAGGAAAGAGTTGGGTTAGCTGGTTGGGTTGGAAAGAGTTGAGGTTTATCTCAGTTGGATACAGAGAAGGACTTACTGGAGGTGAGCTTAAGGTGAATTGGGCCTCAGGCACCTAGAGCAATGGTTAGTGCACTGGTGATTGGGAGAACCAGGAAAAATGGAGGAAGCCGAGAGGTGAGACAGTACTGAGATGTTCTTGAGAGAAGGGGAGGAATAGAGAACAGATCTGTTTGCAGAGGACAAAAAGATGGAGTAAGAGGAGGGGGAAATGTGGGGGAAAGCAGAGGAAACAGTACCTTTTCCCTTTCCTGAACTCCCTCCTGTCCAGACTTGGGCCTGGCAGACAGTGGACCCCCAGGAGATCTTAGCTGAAGAAGTGAAGCAGGATAGGGATGGGGTGGTGTGATGCCTTCCCTCTTATTCTTGCTCAGCGACAGGATGGGTCGCTGAACAATTCCCGACTGGCACACAAATAAATATCCTCCCCTCAAACCAGTGCCTTTCCTAACAGCGATTCAACCGGATTTTGGGAGTCCCAGCGGTCACTAGAGACGGGTCACAGCCGGCTCGCCTTCAAGCCTTCAAATGCCTTTCTGTCGGGGCTCAAGGTGAACGCCCTCCGTCTCAGGCGTTGGAGAGCAGGAAGGAGGTGGCCACGAAAGGGCCGCGTGGGGTGGGGTGCGGGCCAAGGGGAGGTGGCCCGAGATGAGGTGAGGGAAGGTCGCCGAGGTAAGCCGGACCGGCGCTGACCTTTTTACCTCGATGCGCCTCTGGGCTGGCCAAACAAGCCAGCAGCGCGCCCGCGGGGGCTGCTATTGTCTCTGGGCTGGTCCCACCCGCAAACCTTTGGTGGGCGGAGGCGGGGAGCCTCAGGAAACTCTGCAGCGGCCAACAAACCGCCATCGCTCACTCGCCTGGCGGTGCCTTGGAGATGACGCGGGCCTCTGGGCTCCAGGCCCGGGTTTATTGATTCCGGTCACCCTGGGAGCCTCTGTACTACCCAGGGCCAGGATAGCACTGCTGGGCTGCAGGAGTGACTAAGGCTCAGGCGTCTTATCTAGTGCCCCCCACCATCTGTTTAAATTCGCGACCTTTGAAAGGAAGAGAGGCAGAGTGGCAGAGAGAAACGTGTATGTGGAGTGTATATAAGCAACGCCAAGCATTTACTTCCTCATGAAATTGGTGTCAGCATTATCAATAATTGCACAGCCCAGCTGGAGAGGAAGAGAAGAGTTTTGCAAGAGGAAGTTTAGTTTTCTCGGAGGCTGCTTTCTTGCCCTCTGTCTTAAAAAAAAAAAAAAGCCTCTATTAACTTTTTTTTTCTGCATTTAATAGAAGTAGCCACCAAGCTTGGCTTCCCTAAAAGGGTCACCTTGGCAGAGGGGCAGAGCAAGTGTCTTTGGAAGCAAAACTTCCCTTGCTTGGAGCCAGTAATATGAGCTGGTAGAACCTTCTGGTTGGGGTGTTTGTAGATCCTATAAACTTCATCCACTTTGGACAGGTGGGCAGAAAGGCAGGTGGAGGAAGGAGCAGTGGTTAGAGCAAAACTGGATCATAAGGATGGTGATCTCGGGTCACAGACTGGGGATGACAGGTCCTGAGTGAGGGGGCAAATGGAGGGGTCAGTAGAAAAAGGAGAAGGCTGGTGCATTTGAATTTTGGTCATAGCAGAAGGAAACATCAGATTCCTCCAGGGAAGGTTGAGGGGCAAATCAATTCTTCATTATCCCAGAGACAAGCTGGACACAACCCACAATGAATCAGCCTTCCATCTCTTTACATGTAGAGATTCAGGTGTCTTCCTGATTTTGCACTCTCCTGCTTGAATCACACTTCCAATCTGGTACACCCCCCCCCCCCAGTAGATCTACAGGAAGACTTTTATTTGGAGCAAGAAAAGCTCACTGCATATTTTTCTACCATAAATGACAAAGAAGAGGATGATAAACAAACAAAAACACCATTTGCTCCTATTGACCCAAATAGAAGATCTTCATTGAACTTTCCAGAACAGATGCCAGAATGCTTCACTCATACACTCTTCCCTGCCTTTTCAGATATATACTTTATATTTGTAAAAATTCAAAGCCTCCACTCCCATGCTTCCATTACCAGATCTGAAAAAAAAAATCTCCAGTTTGAAAATAAAAATCTTTAGAGGATTTTTCTTTTCTGTCTTAGTTCTTCATGAGAAGGAGAATTCTTAGGGCTGGTTGAACGTTTGTCAGGTTTCCTAAGGAACACTGCCCTTAACCCCTGGATGCCAGGTTTGGGGGATAATCAGGCTCTACTTCTCCCAACTCACCACACCATCTGTTTCTCAGCCCCAAGTGTGAACTTCTCTTTCATTTGCCTTTTCCCTCAGCGTTTGTTCTCTCAATGTGAGGTCCTTTGATCTCCTTAACCAGAGAGAAAGAGATTTCTTAAACCCAGAAGTTCCTAGACACATTCCTTGTGTCTGTGTCATGGGCTGCTGGTCAGGAGTTAGTGGGATGGGGTAGAAGAAAGAGTGCAGATGCAGAGGCTCAGAGACTTCTGATGACTGAGATGAAAGGTATCAAGACTAACCAGAGAGGAGGACCAAGGAATTGGGGAAAATGTTTAGAATACCTATAGTTCAAATCTAAGCCCTCTTATTAGCCTTATGGTCATAGGCAAGTTACTTAATTCCCTGTGCCCAGTTTAATTATCTGTAAAAATGAGGATAATGTTGGTATCCATTTCACAGGGCTAATGCTATGATTAAATAAGTTCATATGTGTAAAATACTTGGAATGTACCTTAATAAGTAAATGTGAGCTGTAATAGCAACAATTATTATTGTTATTATTGGTGTTAGGGATCCATCCTAGGGCCTCACATGTGCTTGGCAAGCACTCTGTCACTGATTTATGTCCTTATCCCAATTATTAACATTGTTATTATTGTTATTATTGGTACTGGGGATTGAACCAGGGGCACTCTTCCACCGAGCTACATCCCCAGCCCTTTTTATTTTTTATTTTGACACAGGGTCCCAACTAAGTTGCTTAGGGCTTCACTAAATTGCTGAGGCCCACCTTGAACTTGCAATACTCTTGCCTCAGCCTCTGGAGTCACTGGGATTACAGGTGTGCATCACCACGCCCAGCCATTTATTATCATTATTTGCATACATATGTTTCCTTTCCTTTCAAAAGTCCCCAATCTAACCATATCTTATACTCCTATCTTGCTTGATCCCTGTTGGTGTATGGGGCTAGAGATAGGTAGAGATTCCCTTTGACTGCTGAGAACACTTTAGGTCATCTGGCAGAGACCCTCCCTTTTTCTGGTCTCACTTTCCTCACCTGTGGAAGAGGAGAGCTGTGTTGGACTCAAAGTCTTCTCCTCCTTTTGTGCTAAGGGAAGATGGACAAGAAGTCTTGAAGGCAAATATTTCAAGTTCCTGATGTAACCCTGTGAAGGGAAAAGGTCTGAACTATGATTTAACTTTCAGCATGGTCCCCTTGTATTACCTGGGTGATTTCATGCTAGTCTTGAGAAAAGAATTCCACTGCTGTGCTTTCATTTCTCCAAGTATAAAATGGAAGATGTTGAATACTGAATGACAAATATTAAAAGTACTTAGAATGCTACCTGGCACATGGCTAAAGATTCAATTTAAAAATTCCTGCTTTATATATTCACACAAGACCTTTTTTGTTTGCATTTGTGTGTTTGTTACTGAGGATCGAGCCCAGAGGTACTTAGCCACTGAGCTACATCCCCAGCCCTTGTAATTTTTTACTTTGACACAGGGTCTCACTAAGTTACTTAGGGCCTTGCTAAATTGCTGAGGCTGGCTTTGAACTTGTGATCCACCTGCCTTAGCCTCCCAAGTCACTGGGATTACAAGTGTGTGTCACCATGCCCATCCAGAAAAGACATTTTTTGATTACCTTCTTATCTTCTTATTTTTTTTTATCTTGA